TTCCTGCAGGGCAGGTATTAAATTAGAAATTCAGACAGGTTAAGTAACTTGACCAATATCACACAGCCTATGACAGAGTCTGAGTTCAAATACAAATGAGTCCAGCTCCAAAACTGGGCTCTTCACTTCCAGTCTGTCATATCTCCCTTATACAATGGTAAATTTATCAACTCATTTGTTTCTTAAAATGACTAATAAAACATTTTTTAAAGGACTAATAAGAGCTATATATATTTTAAAAAAAGCCAAATGCCAATCATTACAATCAATGTGGTTATTGTGTTTGAGCTTAAAACTGCTCTGGCCTCTTGGAAACCCAAAGAGGGAAATAAAATAGGTGAAGTTTGTCTTCCTGGGCCCTCCTTTTCTGATGATTCTTGCTCCCACAACCCCAACATCTACCTTTATCCTTCTTGCAGAAGAATTCTAGTATATAGTTCTTGATCACCACCCAGAGCAGCATCCCATGTCGTTTTTCATCCCTTGTCCCTACAGCCTGCCAGACATCCGTGATCATTTTCTCCTTCATTCTATGCAAGCATAAAAATCAGAGAATAAGTTGCAGGCAGAAAAGAACTTATCTGGGAGCACAGGTAATTACAGGGCAGACACCAATGAAGGGACAAGTTTGAGCTTCAGACAGGAAGGGCAGTAGGCATAGGGCAGGAGGCATGTCTCCAGTGTAGGGGCCATCTCCCCTGGGTGGCAGGGGTGGCAGGGATAATTCAGAGCGGAAATATCTTTGGGGACCCTACACATTGTATCCTAGAGTCTTTGACTGCTCTACCACGGATTGGGCTGCTCATTCTCTTAATAAAGAAGTACAAGGTTAAGCACCTTTCACTAAGTAATCCTGGAAGAACAGAACTTCTTCCCTGAACATGTGTCTATTTCCTACTACTCTGGTGTGCGGAGCAAAGACAGCTAACGAAATCCTATCACTAAGGTGGAGCAGGTCAATTCATTCTTCCCAATTCCTGGAAACCGGAGGTATTTGAGAATTCACACGTGCACCAAGCATTTACTGTAGACTGAATCACTAGGTCTCCCACTACTATGAGCACCATTTCACAAAGGCAGTGGATACTACTGAGCTTTTGTGTAGGTTCTTTTGATTTTAAGGAACAAAGGGAGAAAGGCTCTTTGGTAGCAGTACCATGGAGTGATACAGAAGGTAGAGTTTCAAGGGGTATCAGTCAGGGCTCTCTAGAGAAAGAGAAGCAAAAGTTGATACTGCCATCTTACAGAAGAATTTCTTCTCGAGGAAACCTCAACTTGTGCTTTTAAGGTCTTCAATTGATTGAAACTTAACCACAGTATTGAGACAGAACCCCCTTAACTTAAATTCAGCTGATTTTAAATGTTAACCACATCTACAAAATATCTTCACAGCAAAACCTGGGTCAGAAGTTGATTAAATACCCAGGTAGTATAGCCTAGCCAAACTGGCATAAACCAACCTTCACACATGCATACTCAGGAACAGGGGCCATCATGGCTTATGGAGTCAGGAAGGAAGGATTGTCTAGACCTACTAGCACACAGACATCAATGTCATTCAGCCACTGCATCGTAACTCTTCTATCCCCAGGTAGCAAATTCTTTTGAACATTTGGTTAAGGTTTCCAAGAGAGAAAATCTGTCTATTGAGGCCACTTTTACATAGCAGGCTATATTAAGGCCATAGCAGGCTATGTGAAGACTGGTTGTCCTGGAGTCAGGCAACCTCCCATGACTGAAGCAGTGGTTTCTCCTGTGAAAGACCAGCTAAAAGCTCCATTTCAGATCAGGTGGCTGGGGCCATGGAGTTTTCTGCTCCAGAGAATGTGGAACATGGCAAGCCCCTGACTGTACATGTGCAACACACCCTTCTGTCTTCACTGTTCCAAGCCTGTGTATCTGACTCATCACACACACACAGGTACACACAACTCATCTGCTCCCAGCAAGGAGACCACCAAAGGCATGCATCCTGTAGGTACTGTGTGCAATGACCAGGTCATGCGTTCACTTATTAAGCTATTTCTCATTGTTAAACCCATGATCTCCTGACGATACTCAATCCTCTTGTGTTCCCTCTCCTATCCTTTCTAGGGATTATTCCTCATCATTTTGCAGACTCAGGGAAAATAATGAATGTTATCACCACCAACACATCTGATAAATATGGTTGGAGGAAAACAGAACATTCTTAAGTTAGCAGTAGCTAAAATAATAACATCCAGCTTATTTTAAAACCATGTTGGAGGAAAATGGGATAAAATCCCTCAATTTTTCAGATATGTTATCAAAGAAGGGAGTGTATACCTGCAAAAGATGTAGGGACCATGCCTTTAATTATACAATTGATCCTGAGGCTGTAACTAACATCTATTTCTCCCTTCTTCTAAGTTTCTTTCAGTTTTTTCCCAATGGGGTGACTCTAGCTTTGCTATCAGGAGATCTTTTGACTGCAAATAATAGAAAATCCAGCTAACAGTGGCTTAAATAAATAGGGATTCATTTTTCTCACATAAGAAGAAACTGAAAGCAATGTCTGGGGTTGGCTTAGCTACAGGGTCAGATCTCTGGGTCAAACCTCCATTCCACTCTTGCCCTTTGCCTCATGATCAGAAGATGTCACCATGGACATCCTGGCCACATTCACGTCAGGAAATCTAGACAGAAATTGATACCAGCTACAACTGAACTTTTCATCAGCAAAGCTAGAGCTTTCCCCAGAGCTTCCAGCAATGTTTTTTCTATCTTTTTGGCCATAACCACAACACAGGACCACTCCTGCTGCACTAAAGACTGCAAAATCAAATATGTAGCAAGGGGGAAGAGGAGAGTCATAACTGAGTTAAAGCAAATGTGATTTTTTAGCTGGGCCATGGCAGATTACCTCCCTTTAGTCAAGATGAGCATGAAAGGTGGGAAGTGGGTCATTGGCACACCTGCTAATCCATATACTCTGCCTCTGGCTCAATCGCTGGACCTCCCCTGGCAGTCAACATCCAGTTCCTTTGCCAACACCCTGTAGCCTCAGCAGTTAGCACATTTCCAGTTCTCCTGTGGCAGTCCTTGGGCTGTAGGGTTTTATCATGTCTCTCAGTGGAAGTACCTCTCCACTGGGTAGGGACACTTGCAGGCCAGCAGAGTCCCGCTGCATGGTGAGACTGCACTGTCAGGTGTAAGCATGCGCAACATCCGCATCTCCACCTGGGGATTCATGGCTCTTTCCCCCTGCCTGTGGGAAAAGGTGCCATCATATAAAAGAAGTTAAAATTATTAATGAATTCACAGTGGCTTTTTCTCATCACCTATTTCCTCAACCAATTACCAAGAAAGAGTTACATGAGTATCTCTGAAATGGTTTTGACTTCCCAAAAAAGGATTCCTCACAACTGAAGAAAGATGAAGCCTCAGTGATTCAGTGGGGAGATATCCAGGAGTCAGGACACTTTTATGCTAAGCCTGGCTCTGCAGCTAGCTAACCTGCTGCACAACTCTAGAAAAACTGCCTCCCCTCTCTGGACTGCAGTTGTATACACTGTAAGATCAGCAGATTGGACTAGAAAAGTCACCAAGGTCCTTCCAGCTTGCAACGTTTTCTACTAATTCTTTGGGATCTTGGGATTCTAAAATCCTAAGATCTGATTACTTTCAGGGTTAAAGATTCTTGCTCTTCTTAGTTGGCCTTTATTTTAGACACCAAAGATAGATATTTTCTTATTTCCCCTAAAGCAAAGGGCTTTCTCTCTAAATTAACTATCTAGAATGTTACAGTAGCATGTGAAAAGCCTCCCAGTGGTCATTGGTCCTACTGTATTATTCACAACTTCTATTTTCAAAAAGAAAAAAAGAAAGGAAGGATGGAATTCAGTTCCCCAAATCATAAATCTCCCCAAAAGAAAAAGAAAGCCAATTGACACTGTCTGGATATTACTGGGGCCTTTTACCTTCTAGGCTAATTGCCAATGCATCAAAAGTATCACGAGGTTCTAACAGAATTCATTAATGCCAAAGTTCATTTATTCACACATGGTGCAGAAATGATGATGTTCCATGGCAAAATAAAGCTTCACTTTAAAAATAAATGTCAAAGCTGTTTGAAGATTTTTTTAAAAAATTAATTGTTTGGGTTTGTATGCCCCTTGTTCTTACCCACGAGTGATCACATAGTATGCTACAGAAAACACAGGGCTGGCGTCAGTGACCAGAAATCTTTGGCTGCACTAACTGTGTGATCCTAACCAAGTCCTTTACCCTCTTTAGCTTTAAAATAGAAATTATAGTAATTAACACTCAAGGGCTTTGGTGAGAATAAAATCACACCATAAGAAATGGTAATGTATGCCAAAGTTTTTATAAACCATAAAATAATAGTTAAAATTAAAAACTCCTTATGAGCTAACATAGAAATAATAAAAAAGAATAGTTTGTAGAATATGTGTTTTGTGATTTATAATTTTGTTTGAAGTTTAAAAAATCCTCTACATCTGAGTTTTTTAAAGATATATTTGCAAAAATTCAAAGCAGTTAAACTCACATAAATACACACCCACCCACACATACACATACTTCTTTAGTCGGCTTTTAGAAATTTGTGTTCATTTACTCAGAAAATAAAGAAAAAAAATTCTTTTCATTACTTTAATTGCAGTTATTGTTTTACAGGTATATATATGTCAAAACATCAAATTACACACTTATAAATGTGTACAGTTTGTTATATACCAATTATACCTTAACAAAACTGTAAAAATATACTGATTCTAGAAGGTCATTTCCCTGCATGTTCCTTCATTCCTAGAAACTTTCTGAGGGACTATCCCTAGTATTGAGCTCTTTCGAGTTGGAGTTGACCTAGGGCCAAGACTTCACCACCACCTCTGGCAGTCATGAGGGAGAAAAGGAAGATGGGGACTCTGGAAGAACATTTGTTCCTGGCAGGAACCCAGCTGTGACCTAGCAGGTGGGGAGAGAATGGGCCACTGCCCACCTCTGAAATTTCTCACCCCAATGCTCAGGTTGTCTTTTTCTGGTAATTCAGCACCAAAAAGCAGGCTGTTGGCCTTATATTCCCTAGGGAAATAAACAGGTGGGGGCAGGGTGAGGGGGTATAGGGGAGTGTTAGCAGGACCTGAATGGAGTATGAGATAGAAGAGAGAAAAGTCTCTGTAGCACTATTTATAACAGCCAGGACATGGAAGTAACCTAAAAACAGCCACTAACACAGGAGTGGATTAAGAAGATGTGGTATATACATACAATGGGATATTACTCAGCCATAAAAAATTGAAAAATAATGCAATTTGCAGCAATATAGATGGACCTGGAGATTGTCATACTGAGTGAAGTAAGTCAGACAAATTTCATATGATATCACAAATGCAGAATCTTTAAACAATGGTACAAATGAACTGATATACGAAACAAAGAGTTACAGATGTAGAAAATAAGCTTATGGTTTTCAGCAGGTAAGTAGGAGAGAGATAAACTGGGAGACTGTAATTGTCATATACACACTACTATATATACAATAGATAACTAATAAGGACCTACTGTGTGGTACAGGGATCTCTACTGAATACTCTGTAATGGTCTATATGGGAAAGACTCTAAAAAAGAGTGGATTTATGTATAATTGATTCACTTTCCTGTACATCTGAAACTAACACAGCACTGTAAATCAACTATATTCCAATGAGATTCTTTTAAAGAAAAAAAAGAAAAGTCTGGTACTGAGCCCTATCTCCTAGCATCTGCCCCCTTGTCCTGATGTCTGGCTGCAAGGCACGTGATAGGAGGCCAAACCCAGGACAGATTTTACTGAAAGTCATTTTTACCCAGCACAAAGATCTCTAAACAGATAGACTATTTCAGGCTTAAGAGAGAAGAAATCTACTTCTGCTTCATTGACTACGCTAAAGCCTTTGACTGTATGGATAACAATAAACTATGGAAAATTCTTAAAGAAAGATAGGAATACCAGACCACCTGACCTGCCTCCTGAGAAACCTGTATGCAGGTCAAGAAGCAACAGTTAGAACCGGACATGGAACAATAGATTGGTAAAATTGGGAAAGGAGTACATCAAGGCTTTATATTGCACCCTGCTTATTTAACTTATATGCAGAGTACATCATGCGAAATGCCAGGCTGGATGAAGCAGAAGCTGGAATCAAGATTGCTAGGAGAAATATCAATAACCTCAGATATGCAGATGACACCACATTTAAGGCAGAAAGTGAAGAGGAACTAAAGAGCCTCTTGATGAAAGTGAGGGAGGACAGCGAGAAAGTTGGCTTAAAATTCAACATTCAAAAAAAAAAAAAAAAGAATATCATGGCATCCAGTCCCATCATTTCATGGCAAATAGATGGGGAAACAATGGAAACAGTGACAGATTTTATTTTCCTGAGCTCCAAAACCACTGCAGATGGTGACTGCAGCCATGAAATTAAAAGACACTTGCTCCTTGGAAGAAAAGCTATGACCAACCTAGGCAGCATATTAAAAAGCAGAGACATTACTTTGCTAACAAAGGTCAGTCTAGTCAAGGTTATGGTTTTTCCAGTAGTCATGTATGGATGTGAGAGTTGGACTATAAAGAAAGCTGAGTGCTGAAGAATTGATGGTTTTTAACTGTGGGGTTGGAGAAAACTCTTGAGACTCCCTTCAACTGCAAGGAGATCAAACCAGTCAATCTTAAAGGAAATCAGTCCTGAATATTCATTGGAAGGACTGATGCTGAAGCTGAAGCTCCAATACTTTGGCCACCTGGCGCAAAGAGCTGACTCATTAGAAAAGACACTGATGCTGGGGAAGATTGAAGGCAGGAGGAGAAGGGGACTAACAAAGACGGGACGGTTAGAAGGCATCACTGACTCAGTGGACATGAGTTTGAGCAAGCTCCGGGAGATAATGAAGGACAGGGAGATCTGGCATGCTGCACTTCATAGGGCTGCAGACAGTCAGACACGACTGAGCAACTGAACAACAACAACAACAGAGAAGAGATGACATAGGACGTTTGCAAGGTGATGGGAAGTCTATGTAGGGATGGTCAAGAGAAGGCTGTTCTGCCCACATTGAGTTCATTGAGTAGCAGTTAATGATTAATTCTTGGACTTTAAGGTTTTGACTTTCATACAAAGTAAATTCTTCTAGGAACATAATGTTCAGATAACATTTCTATTTTCAGATAGGCTTGATAAGGATTAGAAAGCCCTAGCAGTGGTTCTCAGGATTATCTACCCATTGAAATGACCTGATTGTCTGATACCTGCACCACTGATACCTGGATCTCACCTCCACAGATTCTTATTTAGTTGGTCTGGGCTGCAATCTTGGGGATATGGATTATTTTTAAGTACCCCAGGTGACCCCAATGCCCAGTCAAGGCTGAGAACCTTCTCCCTGGGCAATGTACACACATCTGGCTGATAACCCCCTAAATCAGAATTTCCAAACTTTTTGGCACTGGGGACCAGTTTTGTGGAAGATAATTTTCCCACAGACCTGACAGGGGGCAGGGGACGGTTTGGGGATGATTCAAATGCATTGCATTTATTGTGCACTTCATTTCTATTATTATTACATCAGCTCACCTCAAATCATCAGGCATTATATCACAGAGGTTGGGGACCACTACTCTAAATCACGTGGTAAGCATACAGATGTGGGGACCCGCCTCAGACCCTCTGTTCAGGACCTCTGGTAGTTTATCAGGAAGCCATTGATTTGTCCTGGTACTAATGCCTCCAAGAAAGTACTTACATCCACTGCTGGCCACTCTCATCTCACCCACAGATCAAAACCAAAAGCAGTGCTTCTCATTGTGCATTCACATTACCCAAGGATCTTGTTAAATACAGATTCTGATCAATATGGAAGAGGTCTGAAATTCTGCATTTTAACTAGCTCCCACCTGATGCCCAAGCCGCTCGTCTGTGGACCACATTTTAAGGATAAGAGCCAGGTGCTGCTGTTAGGTCGCTAAGTCATGTCTGACTCTTGCAATCCCATGGACTGTAGCCCCTGTCAGGCTTCTCTGTCCGTGGGATTTCCCAGGCAAGAATGCTGGAGTGGGTTGCCATTTCCTTCACCAAGGGATCTTCCCAACCCAGAAATCGAACATGCACCTCCTGCTTAACAGGTAGATTCTTTACCACTGAACCACCAGGGAAGCCCTGATGTCTGGGAAATTCTGACTCAGTTGGTCTGGAGTAGAGCCTGGGGTACACTGGGATTGTTTGAAAAGTTCCCCAGGCTTTCTTAGGTGCAGCCAGAGTTAAGAACCACAAATAAGCAAAAATGAAAAGCGATTTTAAAGGGATATCAGCTTTAGGATTTTGGCAAAGTTCAACGCTTTAAACTTATAACAGAAACAAGAAATGTTAAAGTTATATATAATTTCTCTGCAGAGGATTGATGTTGGGGAAGAGTGTTTTGTTTGTTGAAAAAAATGGCAAAAATGCAGAAGCTAGTGGTCAAAAGGGAACTCCTTCTACATAAAATGATCCCCATATTGGGTAACATCTAGAGAGAAAGAAAAGGCAGCTGCTGTGAGGCTGGAACTTGGGTGAGAGGAAGAAATGTCTCAAGAACTTTAAGGAAGTTTCACTGTGTGTAGGCCACGTTTTCTCCTTCTTCAGTGTCCTCGAGAAAACTTGAACAAACACCTAGTCCAAACGCCAGACTGCAGTGGGTTTTGCTGTTTTTGGCTGCGTCACTCCATCTGATAGGGTCTCACACCATATCTATGGAAAGTACTGTCACTACCTGTGTATCACAGATGAGGAAACTGAGGATTGAAGGTCAATCATCTGCCCCGAGTCTTGCAGCTGCCATGCAGAGCCAGAGCTGAGACCTGAGTCTAGTGACTCTACCACAGAGCCCAGGCCTCAGGAGTGATCTGCATGAGAAGAGAAAAGGCCTCCAGGCAGAGAAAATATGGAGCTGGATGCAGGAATGATGGTTTTGCTGCAAGTGGGAAGTCTACCAGCTCAGTGCTGGCCTGTCACTCAGACCACACTCCAGGCCTGAAGACGAGGGAAAGAGGAGTAGGGGAGAGGAGGCTGGGAGTGAACAGTGAGAGAGCTTTTTCTTCAGGGATCTCTGGGCAGAGGTGGGTTCACAAGACAGCCTGCTTTGAGATCCAAATAACAGTGAAACACAAAGGTAGGCCAGAAAATCTCCCCACTTTGGCAGGAAACACAGCTTCAAGAGCTCTATGGAGCACCACCTTCATTCAGCAAAGCATTTACTCAGCACCTACTTTGTGCCAGCATTGAGCATCAGTGAGGACCAATCCCAGTGCTTGAATAAGGGCACTTTTCCCTAGATGGGACCCTCACCAATCCTTGTGCCTGGTTCACCCCGGTCAGAGGTGCCCCCTAGGTTGTTCTGGCTACCCTCACATCTTGAACTTCACTCATCTCACCAGAGAAAAATTATTTCTAACCTCCTTTATGCTCCAAGTTTTCTGGAAGCCAAAGACGAGAGAAAAGTATCCATAAGATTTAAACAATGGCCCAACGGCTGGGAAGAAGTCTCTCTCTTGCTCCCTTAGGAATGCACAAAGCATAATATAATCCATAAATCAACACAGCCTTATTACAAGAGTTTCAAGGGTTATTTCTTCAGTTGTTCACCAATATAAGTTTGCATATCATGCCAAAGTGCAATTCAGCAGAACAGTTCCACAGAGGACCATTCAGCAAGAGCATGCCCATGGAGGGTGGGGAGCGTGGTGCAGCTTCTTCCAGGAAGATGTTAAAATAATAATTCTCAAATTTGGAGGTTGGGTGGGGCATGGAAATTCCCTTCAAGAGTCTGAAGAAAGCTGGGAGGAAATGGACAGTTCACACAAATACACAAAATGCAGCCTGAGACTCGTGTTCCCAGGGCCCTGAACCCCAGTCACAGACCTGTTAAAACTGGTGGAACCTAAAGGTGAGCACCTCACCAGAGGACCGGGCCATCCTTCACAAATACACCCTCTTTTCAGCTGAGCTTTGGAGAAGAATAAAGCAGCCATGAGTGTGAGGTTATGTTCTCCACAGGAGGCTGAAGCAGCT